CACTAAGGAGTGTTTGACAATGCAACAGTAAGGAGCTCTCTTCTGGACCCTGTGGTTGTCTAGGGCCAATTGGGCCCGCTGTCAAGGGCGTCCGGCGGCGCATCATGATCCCTGATAGCGGGTCATGATGGCTTGATGGCTGAATAAAGCGCGATCCGTGATTATGTCCCTTCTCTAGGATATTAGTGTTGTTGCTTGTGAATTATGAGGGCTTGTCAAGCCCTAGGGCTCTAAGGGTGGTGAGGGCCCGATGGGCCGTATAGGGCCCCGTCGGCCCGACCCGAACCGTGACACTTCTCCTGTCTCCCGAAAAACACTATTCGGACAACAAGATGATAGACCATATCTACTATGATATGCATACGGGCAAATGGTGGTGGAGCACTCAGGTATGTGTTGTCAAGTTCTTGTCATGGTAGTTATCTAACAGTGACGCTCAGCGGGCGCTCGAGAAACTCAAGCCAGGGGCGACCATAATACCGATCATTATCTCAACAGATAAGACCAGAAAACGATGTTCCGCAACAAGGCTGCCTATCCAATATATCCCACGATTGTGTCAGGGAAACCCCGATGCCGTCACTTGATCCCATCAAGCGCCGCGTCTCCGCTCGCGTCTCCGCGCCTCCGCTCGTGTCTCCGCGTCTCCGCACCCTGACGCTCTCCCTCCACTGCCCGCACCACATCCCACATCCAGTGATCCCCAGTCTTCGACTTCCCTGGCCACCCCTTTCCGGGTGTCTCTCCGCCGGCGGAGTCACTATCAGGGATCACTAATGCCATCGGAGACCTCTCCGGATGTGGACGCACCACTTCCCTCCGAGACCTTGAGCCTATGGCCTTCTAGCCTCTCTGGGCTGTCACTTATCAAGGTCTCCCTACGATCTCTACCTGCTGGACCTCTTGGGTGTCCCCAACCCATGTCAGCGTTCGGGCTTATGTTCGGATGGCTGAGCCTTGCCATGGCTCCGCTCTCCACTCCGCCACCACGGCCCCCGTCATCGGGCCTTCCCCTGGGTGAGGCCTACTGCCGTTAAGGCTCGTGCCTACTGCAGCGCCCCCAGGCTGCACGCCCTCACATCTCCACCTCTCTGGAGACGTCCGGGGACGTCTCCGAGTGACCCCTGTCGCTACCCTCCAGTGGTCATGGCTGGCCGCCATTCCCATTGGTCCTCTTCGACACTCCCCGGCCCTTGGGCTGGACCAGACTCCTTCCCTTTCCCGCTCCACGCCTTCCCTCTCCGTTTACGGCCGTCACGTCACGGTCACACCGGAGTCGATTCCGATTCCGATTCCGATTCCGGTTGTCACGGTCACGGTCACAAGCGGAGACGCCCAGAGGCAGCCTGGACCTCCCGAAGCCCTTCTTAGGCCTTCTAGGGATGCCTGGGCCCCTCCCTTGGCATCACGGTCCCAAACCTGCCTCTCCGGAGCTTCAAGGGCTACTCGACACTCACCTAGGGTCCATTAGCGATGCCTGACTTCTCCCATCCGTCATCCGTCGCTATGCAGTCACTCTATCATTACTCCGGTCACTGGTATATAGTAGTGCACCTGGGCAGAGGGCTCCTTGGCTTGTTCTCTAAGGATTCCCCCTCTGCTCAGGTGAGTCTGTAGCGTCCCTTCCTGTTGTAGTAGTTCACTAAGGATTCCCCCTCTGCTCAGGACTCTGATTTCGAGCCTCGCGAGGTTGCCCTTACAGATTGGCAATATTCCCAAGGACATTCGTCGAAAGCCCTCTCGACAAGCATATATTCTCCTTGGTTACCTTCCCACAACTCATCTCGAGCACATCAAGGTTGCTGCTGCCTGTCGTCGCGCGCTGGCAAACCTGTACCATGCGTATCTTCGCAAGATACTGGCACCGCTTGAGAATGCTGGTCTAGAGGGTATTGAGATGCGGACTGGACACGGTAAACTTCATCGTGGCCATCCCCTTTTTTGCCATCTTTGCAGGCGATTATCCCGAACAATGCTTGGTGACCGGAGTCCAAAATGGCGAATGTTGTGTCTGTCCCTCTCCGACTGATGAGCTTGGGGACCTGACAGCACTTTATGAACCACGGGACCTTGAGGCCGTATTGGCTTCACTAGCGAAGGCAGAAGGCGATGTCACCGAGTTTACGAAGGCGTGTCGAGAAGCGGGGATTAAGCCGATTTTCCAGCCACTCTGGGAAAAACTGCCATTCTCCAATATATTCCTGTCTATCACCCCCGATGTCCTGCATCAGCTCCTTCAAGGTGTGCTCAAACACGTCTTCAACTGGGTCAAGACCGCTTATGGCCCTGCGGAGATCGATGCACAGTGTCGACGCCTGCCTCCAAACGATAATGTTTGGTTATTCCTTAAAGGTGTCTCAAACCTGTCACGTATCTCTGGGATGGAGCATGGACAGATCTCTCAGATTCTACTGGGTCTTATTATTGACTTGCCACTGCCTGGAGGTCAATCTCCAGTCCGTCTAATTCAGGACATGCACCCAATTTTGCGAGCAAAACCTGGGCCACTGCCCACCGTGTGTTGCGCGCAAAAACTGGGAGAGACTATAGCAGGATTGTGACATGCTCTGTGACAATTGATATATCTTGTATATCTTTTTGAAGTTGAAAGATATGACTAATCTAACTACATAAATAAATCAAGGAATCACCATTTTTTCAGGCCGAAGACCCGGGTAAACATCAGGGTGGCTATGTGACCCATAAAAGGGATATTGATTGGAATAAACGTCAAATTGATGGTTCACCATATAATAGATATAATTATTGATCTTCATCAAAAATCGTTCCACATTGATCAATTTATCTTGATGCCATCAGCAGACATTAGATAACCTACTAAAACAAGGAAATACTAATAAAATAATCTTTTTGTTTAATGTAACATGAGTGACAAAATGACCTCCATGCTTTGTCATGAGCAACTGCCCAATTTTGCGCGCCACAGCGGTGGGCAACTGCCCAGGTTTTGCGAGCAAATCTGAGTGAATGGGCTGTCCAATTCGGGCTGTCCGCGCAATTCTGGATTTCCTTTATCTGTCCCAATATCCTATCCATTCCACTGAAACTCTCAATAAGCTTGATGATGCTCTCCGATGTTTTCATTCAAACAAATCTATCTTTATCGACCTTGGCATTCGCGAGCACTTTAACTTTCCAAAGCTTCACAACATCTCCCACGAATCAATGCTCATTAATTAAGCTCTATGGCACCACAGATAACTACAACACCGAGTACACTGAACGGCTTCATTGATTTTGCCAAGGACGCATATCATGCATCGAATCGAAAGGACGAATATTTTCAAATGACTCTTTGGCTTGAGCGGAAGGAAAAGATACTCTGGCACGAAAAGTATATCTCTTGGCGATAGTCCGGCCCACCTTCCCTCCCAATCGCCATTCATGTCTTCACATCACCAAAACTCCATCAGCAAATGGAGTTCATATCGATAGTGTCGTGCACATGTATGGTGCTACCCAGTTCCGACAGGCCTTCACAGCCTTTATAATCCAGTTCAATCATCCTGATTTCTCAAAACGACAAATTACGACTCAGATAGAGACCTTTATTTTCCCATTTCAAAAAATCAATGCCTTTCACAAGGGTCAAATTCTGGAACGATGATGTTTTTGGATGGGAAATGAGCCTCCAGGTTCTGGATGTTATTCATGCGAAGCCATCATATACCGATCAGCGTGGGTGTTTGGTTGGTGGTCGATTTGATACTGCATTGGTAAATCTTGGAAAGGGTGAACATCTTGGGGTTTCTGGTTTGTGATCATTGCCTGGATTATACAGTTACTAATTTACTCTATAGGATATCAAGTGGCACGTATTCATCTGATCTTTAGCTTATCAGATCGCACTATGGCTTCCGTTTTCCCCAATCAACAACCTCCCAAGCATCTTGCATATGTGGAGTTCTTTTCAAAGTTTATGAACAGGCCAGATGATGTTCATGGAATGTACAAGCTTACTCGACCCATAGATTGTGTGGCACAGATCATTTCTGTCAACGACCACGACGAAGTGTCCATCTTTTCCCACAATTTGGTCCTGTGGCACCAAGAGAATGGACAAGCCAGACAGTGTTAAATGATTGCTCCAAGTTCTATGTCAGTTGTTGGTCAGATAGATACTGACCCATTTCAATCAATTCTGCAGGTCACGGTCACATCAGATTTTTTGGCCGAAATATTTCGGCCGGTCACGGGTCACAGCCAATTCTTTTGGTCCCAAACCGTCCCAATTCGGACAAATCTCAAAATTTTCGCGCCTCCAGGCGCTGAATTTCCTATTTAGGTAAGAGGTCACACAAAATTGGCCCGCGGCCGAATTGAACCTTTCGGCCAAACGGTCACGGGTCACAGGCCCGCTGAATTGAACGAAATGGGACAGTATGCTTATGTAACAACTGTGTAACTTTGTTTTTTCTACTTCTCTAAATAACTTCTAAAGTAACAGTTTTTATGATGGATTATGAGTAAATAGCAGCAAAAGCAATATTATCCAATTTAGCACTAAGTTATTCTAATTAGCTCCCAATTAGGAAATCTGGGTTTTCCTGATGGTACACCACCGCCTTCACATTCTAGCAATCTGGAAATCAAGGGCCTCGAAAATCTCCCGTAAATTTCTGGCAATTCAAACAAGGAATTCAAGCAACAAAACTACACAGAGGACTTAAGCAACGCATTCAGTCTCGCACGCATGCGCTCCACGTTTGCGATGCGCCGCTGCATGTCTGCCAACGCGGCCTCAAATGCGCCGGGCCCGCGTTTACGCAGCTGGGAGATCGCCGCAGCTTGCTGCTTGTCCACCAAGAGCAGATCGTTGACCTCTGCAACATTCATTCCTCCACAGCGGTGGTCGTATCCGAGCCCACTGGGGAGCCCCCACATCCCGCGGTCGGGAAGCACCCGCACCCAGTCCCAGCCGCTGCGCAAACGAACGTGATCGAGCAACGGACACAGTTGGCCCCAACGACGGACGACAGCTAGTTCGCCGAGGATGCGCAGCTTGAGCGAGCGGGGGTGTCCTTGGTAGGGTAAGAAGTGAGAAACATGCAGATGTCGAGCGACGTCAAGCGGTGCAGGGCAGGGAGAGAGTCGGGCACAGAAGACAGGAAGCGCTGTGGAGACGGTGAGTAGCCTGATAAACCAGAAAATACTACCCACATCATAGTCGGGCTCCGCAATCGGAGTCTTATCGAGTAAAAAGGTTACAAATTGGACCTTGGGCATGTGCGCCGCGAGCGCGGGCAAGAAGCTGGTGTTGAGGCTGCTGACGAAGACGCTGCATGACTCCAATCGGGCGGTCTCGAGTAAGCGCAGCGCTGGTTTTGTTGGCACGTGAGGACCAATTGAGCGGTCGCAGGAGAGGATGACATGGCAGAGCTGTGTATGGGATTGGCGCAGCCAGAGCTCTGCCAGTATTGGCGGGCCGACAAAAGTTTGAAGGCGTGGAAGAGAGCTCTTGAAGTATGGGCTGGCCAGTGTCACGCAAGGCGAGATGTGCTGCGCTTGTGTGGATCCTCAAATTGCGCAGAGAGTTGGAATGGCGGGCGACAAAAGTACCGCAGCTGGGACCGATATACGGAATGGCACAGGTATGGAGTCCAGGGAAATGGACGCCAGAGGTGATGACGAAGAGCATGAATTCCCAGGTGTCGGTACAATGTAGGACCTCGAGACGGACCATTTTTTCGATGGCACTAAGGACGAGGTCAATATTTGTGAAGACGAACTCGCTAGATGCCGCGAATTTGGCCCTATTGACTTTATAAGTACATTATCCGCTGAGAGAGCAGTTGAACGACGCACGCATAAACCTTGCGGACAAATCCAGCATGCTTTGCGCTCCCAGCTAACGTTGCCAGCAAAGACATCGTCCGCGAGGTCCGTTTGGCGTCGCCCATATCAAACACAACGCTGCGATACAGATGCGGCTCAGTTGCGAGCTGAAGACGTCGATTGGCCAGACAGACAGCCGCGAGGCCGGCTGGAGAAAGGTTGGGCGATGTTTGCGAGAGGATGGCAGCGAGGAGCGCGTCCATGGTAGCTGAAGCGAAGAGCGAAGAAGAGTGCGTCATTCCTTGGGACTTTCCGCAGGACGCGCACAGACCATTTAGACTGCACGTGCATGCTTCAGCATCAGTTGCGCAAGGCTGTGCATCTAAATGACCATTGACAGAATCCAGCCTCGACCAGACTCATCGCAGTCGCCATTGCCAGTGGCCTTCTTGTCTTTCATGACTCCGACTGAGGACGGGATGTGGATCCGGACTGAACCCATGCAGCGCGGGTACTAGTAAGAACAAAAAAAGACAAGTCAGTGCCGAAACAGCAAATCGCACGTCGCTGCGCGGGGTCGAACGCGCCTCATGCGGACAGCAATGGCAGTAGAGCCGCATTGGGACACCCTAGTTGGGGATTCAACTTTGACGGCTGGAAGTGGCTGGGATGACGGTGCAAAGGCGGCAGGAAGCTACAGCGGCGCAGAGTTTGAAAGACCGAGTGTGCCGCCAGCGTATGTACGTGTTCAGGCGGAACACGTTGGAAACGCTGGAGCTAGTGCTGGAAATGAGGGCGGCGATGCCAGTGGGGAAACGGCGGGGAGGAGAAAGGGAGAGAACAAGCGACCCGTAGGTGATCTTGTGATCGGAAATTGGAAAAAGCAACATGTTTTCGAGTGGGAGCTGTCATGCGGTCGAGAAGGGAGCAGTCACCGTTGGCAACACGTCTTATAGCATGCCCACCGCATTATAAGACGCGGGCAGCATGGCGCATCGGGCCTGACTGGGATGGCACGGCACGCTGGCGTTTGTCAGCGACGAAGAACGGGGACGGAAAGGACTTGGCTGGGAGACGCACTTTACTATCGCGAGATCGACCCCCGCTCGCTTGCTGCTAACGCTCTTCCGATGCCGATGACGCTGCAGTTGGTCAACGGTGGGCACACTGAGTCCTGTCACTGACGATCCTCCCCGGAGTCATGTGAGCTCTTCCATCCGCCAAGCTGGCCGTGTCGCACTATACAGAAGGTTTAATTGCCCACTGTAGCGCAAATCAGTAGACCTTATGAGTAGCCCTGTGGACGAGTCGAATCAGCGTGGCTCGGAGCTGAAAACAAGGCCATAGGCTTACCAAAGACCCACACCAGCCCGCCTGCGTATCCGTCCCGTACCGCGCTGGATGCGCGGGCTGCACTGGGTGTCGTCGTGGAGGCGCTGAGAGAGCGTGTGAGCGCTGATCGGCTCTCGGCTCGGCGTAACGCCGTGACGGATGCGTATCACTCTGTCTTCCTCTCCATGATGACCAGCGCTGGGTAGGCGCTCCGTTGGGCGGCCCCGACTCGATGCGCTGCCCTGCTTCCTTCAGCGCGGGCTCTTCTCGTCACCGGTGCGTAGTCCGCGTCATCGATTCTGGATCTGACTTGGACCAAGGTGCCTGGTCCTCCAACACCGACTTCCTGGTTTCCTGAGTAGGCTTTAGCGCCCTTACGATAACGCTGCAGCACGTGCGTCGTGCGCCGACTTCCCAAATCCCCTCTTTCTCTGGCTCTCGCGTGAGCCTCGAGTTGCTCCAGCGTATTCAACGCCCCCGCTCGTTGGCACGGCCGACGCAATCCCTCAAGGCTGGTTTTGACCGCTGCTGTGAACCCGGTCACGCTGAAGCCTTGCTTGCGACATCGACTTCTGAGGCAACAAGGCCAGCAGTCGGCGCGGTAGCTGTTCCTCCTCCTCCCTTCATCGCCGACTCCTCCTCCTCGTCTCACAGCACATCTCCAAGCGAAGGTTCTCCTTTCTGCATCACTCGATTCGCTTCCGCGCATATCTGCCGGTTCCTGGGCCCGTGGGAAAATGATCTGATCGACAAGGATTTCCACGGCACGCGTCGAACGCGCCATCCTCATGCTCTCGATCTCACTAACAACAAACAGTGAGGACCAGAGTGAACGAGGGAGGGATTACTGGAAAATGTACGCTTCCAGCGTGTCCCGACCCTGGGGGATTCGCCCAGAAGAACGACATTGCCTTCGGGAAGACTCGGAAGAGTGCCAGTGTGTGGTGTGTCGGGGTCCAACGACGTGTTTTGGCTAAAAACCAGATTAGCTAGGACAACGGGAGACAAAGGTCAGCAAGAGCGCACCAACAGCTCGTCGGATGCGATACTTAGCAGGACCGCGCGGCGCATGCGGGACGTCGGCGCAGCAGATGGTGGCTGAGAACAAGCTGCATTTGACGTGACAGTGCGATCACCGCTGGTCCGTGCGCCGCACATCAATCACAGCCCGACCTTGCTTCTTTTCCACCACCTTTCCCTCCTGCTTGCGCATCCCATGCTGGACTGTGACGTCGTCAACATTATCCTGTGGTTCTGTCGGAAGAGGAGGACGGAGGCGGAGAGCAGTGTGGGCGGGAGAGGTGGACCGTGGCGGCGCGTGGCCGTCTACCATGGCAAGCATAGCTAGGTACGCTATTGCTTTTTCACTTGAAGAGTCTCAAAATAGCCTGCGGTTTTGAGCCAAGCAACCCAATCGGAGTGGGTGTGGATGGCGAGGCGAAAAGCAGGTGCGTCGTTGTCCTCTTTGCCCAGAGATGAACTAACTCAAGTCGTCAGCCATGCTGAGCCTTCCGCGTATACTGCAGCACGGCGTAGCGCGCCGAGTACGATTGTGTCCTCGCAATGAATGACTATAGCCCAGTTCGAGTCCAGCAAGCCAGGGCGCAGGTGACCAAGGAGTGCTTGTTGTTGAAACTGCTCTCGGTGCGTGATCTGCTCGCCTACTCCAATTGTGTTGACGCCCTTCGCACAAGTTTTGGGACTCAAAATCGTGACTATACTCTGGTGTTTAATACTATTGCTCTATATCCTCCAGTTGGCACATCGACCCGACGCCACGCGTAACGCCGCGTTTCCGCCACAACTAATGCGTTGAGTTGCAGGAAGGTCTGCCCGCAAACGGTGAGTCAAGACAGGTGGGAACAACACACTGCTGCACACACACACGCAGTCATTAATTGTTCGTTCAAGCATCGCCCCACGACGGACCCACACACGGAGTCATTCGGCATCGCCTCGCGACGCGCGTCCCCTGACAACATGGAGTCACCAGAATGCCATCGAAGGTCGTCGAAGGCCGCGTGTACATTGTGGCGAAAGGTATAAAAGGCACAGGAACGTCGTTATGTCCCCCAGAAACCCAATCGCTACTCACCATGAATCCTCTCATTGACGACTACAGCGATGAAGATAGCTCTCGCAGATGCTTGAGGCTATTGCCGCTCTGCGCTGCTCCGCTCGTTGGAAAACTCGAAACCCAGCGTAGCTATGCGTAATCCAAAGGGCATGCAACAACTAGTGCCGCGACCGGCGACTGGTACGGCTCATTTCAGTGCTGCTATCTCACACCCTTGTTGACTGCGCTTACAGGTTTGCTGCGGACTCCGCCCCTTCCGAGGCCGAAGCTCTGGTAAAGGCCCAAAAACTAATTGCGCAGCAACAAGTTTGGGTTCACACCATTCGCCGACCGCCGGAAGACCCAGTCTGCACCGAGGAGGCTGCGTCCATCGCCGCCTTCACGCGAAACTCTGACCATGTGGCGACCATAACCAAAGTCTTCACTAACATTGGCGTTGCAGGGGTGTGCAGAGCGTCTTGTTCGGCGGGTCACAAGGCATCTTCTGTCGACAAAAACGGCAGTTGCTCTTTATGTTGGCCACGACAACCCCACTCGGTTTGTCTACCATTGTTGCGCATCGCCCTGTTTTGCGCCGAAAATGGCAATGAGACACAACATCCAGCGCACGATTTGGCAAGCCTTTCAGGCATCCTGAACCTCGCAACTTCGCCCTTGCAGCATTGCTGTTCGCAGCCGTGCCCAATATCGACCAACCAGTGGCAACCACCATATTCCCTCCCGTTGCGGATTGTGTGCCGGAACGCAACGCGCTGTGGTCAGCGTAATGCTGACGTTTGAGGGTGTGCCAACCACTTTTAAGCTGCTCGTTCGAGTCGCCCTGCATGCGGCGCTTCACGCCACCGAAATTGGCGGAATTTCTGTGATACAAATTTAAAGGCTTCAAGGCCTCGACACAGCCTACTTTCACGCCCTCGAGGCCCCGAGGGAGGAAGAAACGGGCTGGACGCTCAGAGCTGGGCCTGCAACAGATGAGAACGCGAACACCAGCGACTTGAACGCATAGACACGCACCTGTACTGCCCGTGTCTCGCACACTCTTTAGACCTTAGATTATGTTTGTGTTGTGTACGCGTGTTGTAGTCGAGTTCTACTCCTTGTCGTTGAGGCTACGAACTTGAAATGCATCATGACTGCACTGGTTGATTGGCTTATTTTCTTGGCTGCCACAGGCCATCCAGTCGACAAGTCAACTGTCCGTTCAATCGTCAATAACATGGTTGGTCGGGTACCAAGCAAGACCTGGCTTCGGGATTTTTTGGACCGCAATCCCAACATCACATTAGGCAAAGTCGCTGCGCTGGACCCCAAACGAGCTCAAGCCTTTAATCGCCCTGTCGTTGGCCGTTACTTCGAGATGCTGAAGAAGAACATTGATGACAATGACATTCCTATTGAAAATGTGTACAACATGGATGAGAAGGGTGTGCAGCGTGGGGGCGGGAAGAAGGCTAGCAGCCGGAAGTACTTTCTAGCGAAGAATAAGGATGCTCGGACTTCATACCGCTTTCGCAGTGGTAATCTTGAGCTTGTAACTATCATCGAGTGTGTCTCGGCGGACGGAACTGCTCTCAAGCCAGGTTTTGTGTTCTCTGGGAAGGAATTCTGTCCTGAATGGTTTGAGGAGGAGGGTGTGATGTAGGTCTATTCTGCCTGGTATGAATTTGCAAACTGAAGAGTTGTACAGTGTATCAATGTCGGAGAATGGGTGGACAGATAATGTCCTGGGCAGTGAATGGCTTGAAAAGAATTTTGTTCCACAAGCTGCTGCTCGCAACACGTCCGGCAAACCCATTTTACTCACCTCAGTCTACCCTGAACCTAGACCTCTTAGGGTTATCAACCCCCCTCAAACCCTCCACCTAAGAGGCCCCAGAAAGTGGAGCTCTTCCACTGGCTGGGATTTTGCCACTGGGGGTGGAGGGTACCCCACCTGTCACGTCACAATACTGTGGAGGTTACCACCCTAGCCGCCCCTTTCAGGCCTTTGGTTCTGCCTGTTTCATAGCCACTATGGTATTGTTGA